CGGGCTAACATTTAACCTCCAGCTCAAACTTCTGTTTATTATAACGTATTCCATTCAAATTTATATCATCTAATTTTCCTCTGCCCCGCACTGTCTCTGCTCAACTCCAATTAGAAATAAAAATTGAGCTCAAACATTTGCCGCACAATTTCTCACAGCTTACTTTTTATTGGGAAAAATACGTCAGTTGGTCAAAAGTCTTTGCGGGTGTATAGCATAAACATTAATTTTTCATAATTCTCGAAAAAAAGCTATGCTTTAAAATAATGACAAATCAGTTCGCAGATAAACCCGCGACAGCAGAGAAAAAATGAAAAAAAAGTAAAAAATGAAAAAATATGAGTTTTTCTTTTGGGCAGCCGCCAGCACACTTTTCCCGAGCTTAACTAATCGTAGCAGATTTTTTCACAGTCATGTTGGGAGCGATAAAAAACGAGTAAGAGAAAGGGAAACCCTTGGGCGGAGACGTCTGCCTGGCCACATCCTGCGGCCTGCCAATTAGAACCCTTTGTTTGCCTGGATCTCGTCCACAAGACGGCGCTCTATCTCGACGCACTTATCTCCATAATAAAGTCGTAACAATTAATTGCGCGACCTTTTCAATGGCTCAGGCCTAACCCAATCTAAGGCTCCTCCTTAAAGATATCCCATGGACAAGCTTTCATTTTGAGCACCTTTCGCGTGGCTTGACGCATAATTAGTGCTTAAAATTTATTTGACGAGCCTGCAATTAATTTAATGTAATTTTCCATTTTAAAAGGCAACTTTCTGAGTGGGCTTGATGTGGCATAATTTCTGGAATTTAGGTATGTGTCCTAAATGATGCAGAGTTTCTAGTATATATCGTATGTAAATTAAAGTGTTTTGAATAAGTTTTGCATCAATTAAAAGTTGGGGATTGGAGAATCGATTTTCCTTATGTCACCTCAATACAAAAATAAATTGAAAAACTTTTCCTTTCTCTGTTCAGTTTGAAATCATTTAGTAATAATTCATCCGGCAAAAAACTAATCAGTTCCAAAGTTCATCTTGATAAAGTCATAAAATTTCGCGTACTCCCCGCACTCTATTCCGAAATATCAGATTGATCTACATATATATTACCAAATATACATGTAAATACATCTGGTGAATGATATTATTGTGAATCGAGAAGCATTGAGAGCGACTCCATGGAGTTTTTTATGTTCAACTGCGGTTTGTTTTGAATGAATTCAACTGTAAAGGTTAAAATTATAAATGTGCAAATGACTCATCATAAATAAAATTAATAAAAGACACGCAGTCAAAAGCCGAAAGTCAAAAGAACCTGGACAGGGGCATTGAGAAGCGAAGCCTTCATTGAGAAAAAGTACAACGCATCAACATAAATATTATGATAAATGGATTGTTATAATCATAATCCGCAGGGGGTAAGTTTCGAGTCGTGCGATACGCATTTTTTATGCAGCGACGCCCCCAAGCCCGAGGTTCGGTAAGGCACTGGAACTGGCAAGGATATAGAAACCGGAGCTGAATGAACTGGCGCAACATATGGTCGGTGGGTGGATTATACAGATGGCGCACGAATGGATTTGGATTGCGATTCGATAGCCGCGTCCAACAGGGGCGAACAACAAGTCGAATCGAGTCGGGTCGAGTCGTGTTATTCTTATTTTATTGGTTTCGCTAACTGATGGCCGCAGTGGGACTAAAAGCCGAACAGAGTTTTGCATACGCAGCCACAGAGCTAAGAGATTGAGATACTTGTTCGTATCTCACAGATACTTTACGAACTGAGCATCTTGCGGGGCCATAAACGCGTCGTATCTCAACTTCGCCTACAGTGCATTAAAAGTGGAAGCTTTACGCCTAATTAACACTTTATTCAAGCCGAAATTTTATTGTTTCAATTATGTGAGTGAATGAGCGCCAGAGGCAGCAGCAAATTGACAAAACAATTTGTATTCGAGTACGCACACATGAGCAACCCACACACACATAAGCAGAGCAGCCCGACGGGGTATGTACTTCAAACCCGAAACAACCATTTAGCACACACCCAGACGTACACACACTCACACACACTCTTCTCGCGAGCACATTGAAATTCAGGATGTGAAACAAACGATTTGCGGTGAGCGCAACAAGCGGGTTAAAACATGAAGACGTAGCACGAAGGAAATATATCTTTTGTATATATATATACAAATATTTATATATACATTTATCTAGGAAACTTTCAACTATCCTGTAAAATGTGAGATAAGCTAAAAGCTCATATACAATTTTCCATTTGAATGTGTCGTTTAAAATGCAGAGTTTAGTCCACTAAAGATATAAGATTCCAGCCGTGTTTTTATGTACAATGTGGACCATATATTGCATCCCTGACTAATATGTAATCTGCCATTTATTGTTGTTAACTAAATCAAGTTTAAGTCCCAAACTATTGAAATTCAGCCGTTTCGTTTAGATAAATCTGGTGTGGTTGTAGTTTTTCAAACGCTGCTGCTAGAGAAAGGATTTTGATAAAAATAATGCTTAAAATAATTGAAGTATTTGACTACAAATCAAACGTGGTTTCAGTCAAGATAAATTACAAAGCTGTTGACAAACTAATTTAGCTGCTTTACAGCTCTTCATACTTAGCAAAATGTAAGTTTAGCCCACTGTTTGTGCTTTACCTGTAATGATCCTCGACTCTGTGGGATACTGCCAACACTTCAATGCGGATACAACCTGACATGGAATTAATTTGACAACATTAACAAATTAAACTGTTAAACCAACACACACACACTGATGCACACACTAAAGCATTTGTCGAGTCAACTGAAAGCCGTAACAACGTTCCCAGTTTTCTCTCCTTCTGTCCATTTGTCCGACTTGCCGCCCGCCTGGCAAACGGACAGACATTTACAACATCATTTGTAATCCATATCGCTCAGCATGTAGTCCCACAGTCCCAGACGAATACCGCCCCATGTGAATCTGTGTTTGTGTGTGTGTGTGGGAGCAAAGATGTATTGACCCTTCAACAGATTCTGTACGAGTGGTGTCGGCGCTTGGAATGCTTCACGCTATTTATTGGCTCACTTTCACTCGGACTTGAGTAGGAGAGGCACTCAGCTGGGTTCATTCTTCCACTCGTTGGCAAGGCTAAGGATTTGCTACAGAACTCGCCTTCACACTCGCTGGGGAATTTGAGATGTCGCTAGCCACGTGTTTGGATTTCAGGTTACACTTGAAGCGTCTCTCCGATTAGTGGTTGCCATTTGTCAACATGATGGTGTGGTTGATATTAATTGGCATTGTATTAGTCCAACTCTATGCTGGTCACACACACAGCTGCACTGGAGAGTGAGTAGATATTTATTATACCTAAGCAACCTTGCAGTAAGTGCACTTTAAGAGCATATCATTTGTTTTTATAAAGTTGTTTCAATGTTATTTCTATCTTAAGCACACAGTTTGCTTCATTACAATATTTAATCACAGTTTTAGCTAGTTAATGGCCAATAATTGTTTGTATAATGTATTTTTACCATCTTTGAAAATGAGCAAAACAAAATTATTTCAAACTTGACATTTGCAATCTATTGAAAACAAGGCTTTAATTCTGTTGGCTTAGCGATTATATTGAAATATTTAAGAAGCTTAGAGAGCTACTATACATTGCTGAGAGCCTACTCTTTATATAAATGTAGATGCAAATATATAGACTGCAAATATATATACAAAATAGACATTACTTATTACCCAAGCCATGCTTATGTTTTCCGTTCATTGCAAGTCCAAGCATTGTCAAACTCTTTCAAATCGTAGCCGTTGCCTTAGGTATCGAATACACAACTGCAGAGAACTGCAAAAAGCGTTCCACTTGTGTCCAGTTGTGATTAATTGAAAGTTTGGGCAAGTGAATGGAATCGGCATGGAGTAAATGTTGATAATGCCCGAAATGCGGCAACAAATGCGAAATGCGCTGCAAATTTCCCGAGGATACACTTTTACGTATGCCCAGCAACAACAACAGTTGTAACTGCAACTTGCAACTGTTGCAACTGTTGTGCGCTGCCTGCTCGTTCCCATTCCCATTCCCATACTCATGCACATTACCCAGCTTTCGGCTGTTTTCCTGCCCCCTTTATCGAGACAGGGGACAGGAAAAATATTTTGACAAATGAACCTAAATAACAGGTTGCAATCGCTCAGAGGGGAGAGGGAGTAGCAGCAGCAGCAGCAGCAGTAGAAGAGACAAGGGAGACTGAGCATATGCGTGGCCCTGGACCGACCCTGTTCTCTGGATAGAGTGGACCTGTACCTGTGCCTGTGCCTGGACAGGAAAACGTATGACCAGACAACCTTGATACCTCATTTATTTTAAAACGTTGCTGCCACAGTTGCAGGCTGGTCGTAGTTTCTGCTGCACAAATGAAATCGACACATTGGGGTAAAAAAACTAAAAGAGAAATAAAAAAAAGAACTAAACGCGCCCAGCTCGAAGACGTTGAGCTGTATTCATCAGTCGCACTGACGAATCGACGTCGGGCCACTCTCGAAAATTGTTACAAATGATCGCAAATAACAGATCTTTGCCGGTCTTTGGGCCTGGTTCAGGGCGCGTTGCCCATCAAAGGAGCCGAACCCAGAAACAGAAACAGAAACGAAGACGAAGACGCGTTGCGTGTGCTTGGCTGATCGAGTGAGCTACAAATGAGATTGGCCAGCTGGGATTGGGATTGGCCTGATTGGGACCTGGAATCTTTATGTGAGGAACTGGATTGGGAGACGAAACCAGAGGCTGTGGGCATGGGTGCGGCGCCGTTCGATGCTAGGCTAAATTGCACTGATTTCTTGATTAATGAGAGTTTTGCATTTTCCAGTTAAGCCTGCTGCTGATTGCGACTTTTCATCTCGCCGGTGCACTTGCAGTGGCAAGTGGCACATAGAGAGTTGATTGCAGCTATTGCTTCCCTAACTGAAGACTTGATTATAGTTATTGGGTGCTTGGTACTCACCCTGATTGTTGTTGTTGCTGCTCTTGCGCGATGTCTTCTTCTCCTTCATCCAGGGATACTCGGGCACCGAGTCCATCCCATCCGGTGTCTGTGGCACACCGCTGACACTAACCGGATATCCGCCACCGACACCGACACCGCTACCAATGCCAACGCCAACAGGTGTGCCAATTTTCGGGCTCTCCGGACTCAAGTGATTGAGAAATTCGGCCATCGAGGGCTGAGAGTTGATGAAACCCCCCTCGGTGGCCATCCAGTAGGCGGTGTCGGCGGCTCGTTTATCACAGTTCGGTGCCATTTTGTTGACAAGCATCACCGCTGGTGGTGGTCCCTGCGGTCCTTGGGGCGCCGCTCCGGGCACAATTGGCACCGACACCGTAGTCTGGCTCGTTTGCACCTGTAGGGGATTTAGGGGCGACTCGGATTTGATCTGGGCGCCCATTTGGTTGGTGTCCAATGTGCTGCACACCTCTTGCATTGTAAACTATATTTTCTTATGGAGTTTCTTCTCTATTTCTTGTCTATAGTTTATTATAATTTATGTTCTTTTATTTATGCACCTGAAAAGAAGACGCATTCCAAACGAATTATTATTGAAATAGTGGTTTTATTATGATAATTATTGTGAGAACCCATGTATATTATTTAATAAATATTTATACTCATCTAGTTCAACAACTATTTTATAAAGAAAATAAAACTATTTTATAAAAACAAATATTAATTTCGCTGAATATTTTCAGGTTTGTTTTCAGCTGGCGCCAAGAAAATGGCCGTCGGGAAACGAAATTGCAACGACAACTGACTTAGATTTTCCGGTAAAGATACAACGTAAAGCTTAGGCAATGGAAAATGAAAGGAAGCCAAATAGAACTGGTTTCTATACTAAGCTATAATTATTTATATAAATATATTGCTTATCCTTAGAGCGAGTTTCAATTTACACAAGGTAAAATGCAGGTCTATAAAAAGGATTATTTTTTTAAATTTCTTACATTTCTTATATAAAACAGCATCAAAAAGACTTTAATGAATACAGAGCGAAGCATCAATAAAAGCTAACAGAGGAACAATATATATTGTATATAGGTTTAGCTTATGGCTTTTTTATAAATACTAAATACTACTATTAACTAATAAATACTGAATGCTTAAAAACTCCTTAGTACAATGTAGAATAGAATTCAATATATAGATAGACTTAGATAGACTTGCATAATTCTAATATTTCTGATTTCAATTTTGTGAACCAGTAAAGCGAACTTAATTATATGCAGCCAGCGCATGAGTTAATTTAAGCTGAATAATACTTTCTGTAACATTAATAATAAGAACACAGACAAAAATATTTTAAGCATGTTAATCGAATGCTATCACGCACCATTGCTATATTTCGCTGGGACAGATCCGTGTGCAGCGTTAGATTTCTTAAATTTCCATTTTGTGTGCGAAGGTTTCTTTTTTTCTCACATTTTTAGCACTTTTACACAATGCGGGTTTTGATGTATTTCTGCGTGTCAAAGCAGCACACTTAAACTATGCGAATCGAGTACTATATTACTGAGTACTGAATATTATTATGTGTTTTCGAGATATATTTACGAAGAGGGTCAGATAAGACCGCCAAGCAGGCACAAAGTTGTCAGCGACAAGCGCGACGCGTTGCTCCGACTATTTCGATGGCGATGGCGGTGGCGATGGCGAACGTTGTTGTTTAGCCAAGCGAGACTGTGGCAGTTCCATCATGTCGAGCTGCCAGCTACAGTTTTACACACATTGGCACCCATGGCGACGCGAGTGCCAAAACAACAATGGGAACACAGCACAACAAGACGGACGCACGATAATGCAATAGTTCGCTACGCGGTACAGCGGTGCGTATGCGTAACGACAATTTCAGTTGAAGTTTTGCTTGCAAGCTGAGCAAGGGCCTGGCAAAGCGACAAAAAACTGAAGCTGATCTTGCAATGGCCAGCGTGCACACACACAAGCGCAGACACACATACAATTGTACTGCAATTTGTAGTTACAAGTTACACTTTCCTACACGTTCGCGCCAATGTGCTGCCTCTATAGCTGTCTCTTTCTAACCTGCGGCGTAGGCTCTGCTATCGCGTATCGGTGCGCAGAACCGGTTTCAGTTGTTGATGCGGCCGCGATGGCTGGCTTTTGCCGTTAATATTTTATATTTATTTAAACTTTTAAATACTATTCACTGTTTTATTGCACATTTCTCAGATACAGTTTTAGTTTTAGCTAAATGTTTCGCCAAATAATAGATATTCAAGTTAAGATTCAGATTCGGAATCGTATCTCTCCCTCCGGTTTGGGCAATACGACGCTGCTTCGTGCGGGCACGACACTTAGCCAACCATTTCATCCAATAGCACCGAACGCACTGAAACTTGTCCGCACTTGTCGCAAGGAGTGGCCAAGAATGAGCATATTGTGCGACTGTGTACTCAAAGATGAGCGCCACAACCACCAATCAGAGGGGCGTGTCTAAAGCGGCTTGTGGTATATGCATGTGTGCTGTGTTGGTTGTGTTGGTGTGTCAGAAGTAGTGGCAGCGCGCAATGAAAAGTTGGGGTGGATTGAATAGAGCGGAGAGATGTGCTCGTGAGTGTTGAAGTCGTGTTCTGCTGGCAATGTTGTGAACTTACTTGAGTGGACGTCAAACTTGTATTAGAAATGTATAGATAGTGAACCAAATAATAAATTATCAATAGGAGTGCTTAAGATTTTGCAAAATAATATAATAAAATAATAATAAAATCCGGTTTCTCAATACTTTAATGTTGACATAGAATATTTTTAAGGCACTTTTTAATCAGCCTTGTATCAATATATTAATAAGTTATTAAACAATAATATCTTAATAACATGTTTGCTTCCATTTCTTGATTACTTCTACGGCACACTGATGTTATGTCTGTTATCGCTAGATCTCCACGGCTTGTGTAAAGATAAGCAAAGAGTGGAGACGTGCATGCGCAATAGAGATGGCTAACGCAGTTGCCGGGCCAGTCACACACAGGTACACAGTAGAGCCACTCACACATGTTCGCACTCTCTGTACTCACACACATACACGTAACCAGTGTCTGTAAAGTCTCCGCATCGCTGATTGGTTGCAGCGAATGTGTATGTTTGCGTCGCCCTGTCGCTTTTGTGGCTTTGTCGCCGGCGCTGTCAGTTCAGCAGCTGCAGCGCAGTTTTTACGGTAAACGTGTTGCGTGTGACGGAATTTATTTGGTTTTTGTTATTTACACATTCCGTCGCCGCAGCGACGAGCTTCCATTCCTTTTTTCTCTCTCTTTCTTGTTTTTGTTGTTTTTTATTTTTGTTGTCTCCGGCGCTGCGTATTTTTGACATTTCGCTTTGCACGTTGCGCGTCTTTCTTTTTGTTTTGAGCGCCTCTTCTTGTCTGTCTAACCATCATGTTGTCAATCTTGGTGGCATTCGTTTTTCTGCTGCCACACTTTTTCACATTCTGTTTTTATTGGCAAGCGCTAGCTGCGTTCGCTGTTTGTTTCATTTATGCGGCACACTCGCCATCAAAAGTTAACGAACGAATGCATCGACGGCAACATCGTTTGCATATAGCAACTATGTGTATACAAAAATTAGTACAAATTGAATAATTTTGTTCAAAAAATGTATTTACAAATTTAAGATAATATAGTTGATAATTGAAACATATTTTTAAAATTGAGAAGAGCTCGTACATATACTCAGAAGCATATCAAATTAAAAATTACCTGTATTATTTATATTCTACATTGAAATAATTTTTATTTTTACACAAAAATACATACAAAATGTATACTTTTAAAATATAATTTGGTAAAGTAATATGAGTTAAAACTGTGATACGAGTTGATAATACCTTATATTACGAAACTACTGAATACTAGAATGCATTTGTTAACTCATATAAAAAATAATCTTGTTTGTAGGTTATTTAGTCTAATCTTAAAGATTTGCTAGCTGATCAGATATTTCGTTAGTTTGCATAATCCTCTACGCCATTCCCTTTTCGTTCAGCGCCTTGCCATAAAACTATATTAGGTGGCAACACATGCGCCGGGCGAGAGCTCACATTTTTATTGGCGGGGATCAAGTTTAGCTCGCGATTTGGCACAGGTAAGGCAGGTAGCTTAAGGTGAAGTATTCACAGTTCTTTTGGAAAACCCGTGGAAAACCCGATTTATTTCTCTTTCATATCTCAGTTAAGGATGAATTTACCTGATGAATCTTTATGACACAGGTTTACAAGTAAAACTTTCCATGTGTAGTTTAGCTTTAACAATTTTTAGTCACTGCTTCTCGATTATATATTCTCATTTGGAATACTTTTGATATAACAATTTTTTAAAATATATAATTCTATAAGATTAATCGTTTTGATCGATTTTCATGTAGAATGTACGCTCGGCTTAAGTTAAAATAGAATATATTAAATAGATTAGATAACTAACTTATTTTTCTTCTTTTTCATTTTTTATTTTATGGTTCCATCTTCGATTATTCCTATGTATGTAGTGTAGCTATTCCTGCTTCCATGTACTTTCTACATTTTTATGTAAGTGATCTTTATATATGTATAAAATTGATTGTGTTTGCCATGTGTCCTTCCATTAAACTATATTATATATAGTATAGCAGTAAGAACTTATATTTTCGATACATTTTATATGTGTGGGAAATTCTTCTCACATAAATTTTTATTTGTCTGACTTTCGATTGGACTTAATGCCTTTTAGGAGTCAATTGAATTATGCATTATAATTAGACTTATACGACGAAGTCGGCAGTCGTTTCGCAATCAAGGCTCACGCCACTTCGACACATTTGGTCGAGCAGTTTGCGGAGACAGCAACTGGACGCGACATACAACAACAGCCGGCTGGGCTGTGCCAGACGCAGTGCGCACACAGGTAACAGCCAGGAAGAGTCTTCCGACTTGCGGCTGGACTTACCTGTAGAGTATAAAAGTTAAGGGACTGCACGAAATTGAAACTAGTTAAAAAAGAAATGTGTCACAGGACAGAAGCTCAGCTCAATTCTCTAAGCGAAATGTACACCAACTGCAATACAAGTGAATCGTATATGATGACCAACGACTTGGTAAGTTTGACATATATTTTTTATACTACAGTTCAGTTGCTTTAATATATAATTATTTTTTCCATTCGCAGGCTAGCTTACCTCAATCCTCTGAGTTCCTTTCCCCTCCAGTCGCTTCCAAGTGCAAGAGATCTCGTACTGCCTTCACAAGCTATCAACTGCTCGAGCTAGAGCGAGAGTTTAATGAGAACAAGTATTTGGGCAGACCTCGTCGTATCGGCATCGCTCAACGTCTGCAGCTAACCGAAAGACAAGTGAAAATATGGTTCCAGAATCGTCGTATGAAAAGCAAGAAACAAGCCAATAGACAGTTGGGCTCCAAAGTGTTTCTTAATTCTGCTCCAATTCAATCTAAAGATCATCTGGAACCTCCGCTCAGTGAGCATGAACTGATTGTCGAACGTCTATTGCAATACGTGAGCGGGGGCCAACAACCTGAGTCATTTGAACTGCCCGATCACTTAAATAATAATTATGCCGCAATGGAGCAACAATGCGATATTAATGTGCATCAGCTTCCTGGACGACTGCCCAGTCCTGAAGTGAGTGATCTGGACTTATGGCATCACGATTGGCTCAGCACAGAGTTATGGCATGGAAGTGCAGGCTTGGAAGATATGCAAGATATCCCACACATCGATCAGTTAACAAGTGCTACGACGATAGATCAGCAAGTGGCGTGGAATTCGGCTAGTTCAATGGCTACATCTGCCTGCTCATCTAGCGCATCATATGATTCCTTTGAATCCCTGGAATCTTTTCACAATTTCGATCAGTTAAATGCTGCTCCAATTCCCGACCAACACTTTGAATGGGCTTCTAATTCGAGTTCTGCAACTACATCTGATGCGTCTTATGAATCGTTTGATTTCGATTTCTTGCAGAATTTACTAAATAATTAATTTAATTTATTGTTTTATTCAACTGAAGCTTTAACTTAATTTTTTAAATAAATTAAATTAATATTAAGTTAAAGAAAAGTTAAGGAAAAATAAAATTATTACAGTTTAACATCGTTTTTGTTTCTATCAGGTTTATTATTATAAACATATTATGTATATACAACTATATTAATTAAATATAAATAAAAAATAAAATAAATAAAACTCTTTCTCAAGATTTTTCAAAATTTTTTGTTTGTCTTTTGAAAAATGAAACATAAATTAAATTATTCATTTTCTAGATTCATATCTTTATATATATTTAATATTTTAATAAAAATAAATTTGTGAGAAGCCATTATAGTGTTCCAAGTGTTTTTGTTATCCGCCCTTTCGCCGGCTGTTCACTTAGATAAATCGGTGTCATCATATCATAATGTAATTTCCACATATTGAAATTTTGCTCGAGTGTGCGTATCCAGTTTGAATATTGCTTCCGCTTTGATGCAGATTGTTTTGTGGACAATATTTCATCAGCAGCTGTTGTGCCAGATATTAGTTTTATTATTTCAATAACATTAATGCATTGCATTTCATTATCGATAAACTTTGCCAATATTGATTAGAAAAGTTTAGTATTGGCATAGTTGAATATATATACATAACTGTATACAGATTGAGGGAGAACCTGAAGACAATGTTCTATAAATTTAGTAGCTCATTCTTAACATTAGAGCTTAGTTTTATTTCTTTTTCATCTGATGACATTGCAAAACAATTAATGCTCATTCGATTTTTAATAATTAATGTTCACACACAATACTATATAAATAACATTTTCTATTGATGGATGAACTGTTTTTATAACTATTAAATAGCTAGTTGCAACACGATATCTATGGCCGCAATAGCCGCGTTAATTATGAACTCTTTTGTTTAGTATTTAATCAAAAGGTTAAATGACAAGTGAAATCAATTAAATAAAACAAGAATAGAAAAAATTTTACGACTCATTTGCAGCGACATATGTACATATATATGTTATACATATATATTTATACGAGTATTTGGCGCTTATAAAGACATACAAGTATTTATTGACTATTTATCATGTGAGATTTTAGCTAGCCTGTCACATGTATGTGCCCCATCTCTGCTTTCCCGCTCTCTCTCTTTTTCTCTCTCGCTTTGTCTTTCACTCGCCCTCACAGTTGTGGAACTTGAAGCAAAAGATGCAACTACCGCAACAACCGTGACAAGTACAACATTTGTGTCGCCTGCCTTCGCCTCGCTTCAATCTGTCGCCCTCTGGCGCAACCTTTGACACGCATAAATGGAACAGGAACAAGCGAACCCCACCACCCACTCTCTCGCCCTCTCACTCTGCCTACCCACACAGTGTGTGACGCATGGGTACATTGGGGGCCTGTGCACTCGATTCTGGCCGGGACCAAGACCGGGACAAACAAAGATCGCAATTTGACTCTACACCACGGAGCTGTCAGCTCACACAGTGTAGAGGAAGATTGATTACCGCCATCGAATTGTTTGCCCTAACGGGGTGAGAATGGGTTGTGGGCTATGGAGTTGGCATTGAATAGCATTAGAATCGAAAGAGTTATTCGCCGGTTCACGCTTCCGCAGCTCCTCTCTTCGGGCTGATACTGACAACGTTGACACCAACATGAAAATTCCTGCTGTCATATGTAAACAACACTTGAGTTAGCATTTACCTCGGTGGCGGGTTTTCGGTTTCAATTTGAGGCTCAAACCTAAAATAAACTTTTAAATATCGGTAATGCACACAATTAGCACATATAACAAACAAAAAGAATTAATTTCAATGGTTCATCTAAAATTCTCATACTCAAGCATATGATTCCATATCCAAGTCCAAAGTCGTCGTATTTGGGGCTGACATAAACTAAATTTATTATTTATTGTGAGATGAACAAAAATAAGACTTATCTTATTTCGATTCTTTAAGAATATTTCAGTTGCACATTAGTTCGTATGCTTTTTAAGTACAAATTCATATTTTATAGGACATATATCTGAATGAACTATAGCAGGGTCTCATTAACACTTTAAGTAGATATATGGTACTATTATGTTGTTAAACATATAAATTATAAAATGATTTATTATAAAATATCAGGAATTCAGTTTGAAGTACGCTCAAGACTTACTGCATATTACTCATTTTTTCAAGAAATGAGTTTATGAATTCCAATTGCTTAGAGTGATATTTACGCACATATTTAATGCAGTTCTCGTAGCTGGCCTCATCGTCGAGGCCTTTATAGGCCATTGCGCGATAGAGCCAGGCTCTCATGTACTTCTCATCCAGCTTATTCAGCACAAAGTCACAATCGATGATGGCGCGCTTAAATTGATGCAGTCTATAACAAATTTACTGTGAGTTTGCTATATATTTCTTTGGAGATATGAATTAATTACTTGATATAGCTGAGAGATCGATTTATGTACAGTATGGGACTGTCCTTAATATTCTCAAGTGCCTGAGTGTACATGCGCACAGCACTCTCGTAGTTACCCTGGCGATAGTCGGAGTTGCCAAGCCTAAGAAGAGAATTTCGCTACATAAAATATATATAGTTTGTATTTAAGCTATCTCCATATACTTTCTAAATTTCTGCGCTACTTTCTCGCGTTCTAGACGCGCTTTGGAGCGCTCTGCCAGCTCTACATCCACCTGTCTCATAAATGTAAAGCGATCCTTGCTTTTATTTGAGGTATTTCCTGGATCCCTTACAGTGACCATGAAATTGTCATCGGTAACACTGTCTGCAGCCTCTTCCGGTTTAGTTTCAGTCTCGTTTCTACAAGTGTAATTTATGGTAAATTTATATTTATTACTTTGAAAGAGTTGAATAATTTACTCATTTGGCTTTTTTATGCTTCGTAGCAAATTGATAACCTCATCGACTGTTGAATCGAGTCGCAGGAAACTCTCATCCATTTGTGGATGTTGCAGTGAATACATATTGGGATTACTTTGTTTTATTTAAGATTCCTATACAATTATTTACTACACAGCGGATTTTTGTAAATGTTTGAGCTAACAGTTGAATCGTTTGTTTATACAACATGTACGGAGGCATGGCATGGTAACCATGTCAATAGTGCTCCATGGATACTCATTGAGTGCTTAGCAACACGCAAATGTAAATATAAGATATATATATATATATATATATATATATATATATATATATATATATATATATATATATCAGATGAATATTAAGTTTAGCAAATTATTACGAATATCTAACAGTAAGTGAAGACTTCTTCAGTGTACTGCCTATAATTATCACAGTAATTGTTTTCGATTCATGGTTAGTATTGGCATGGTATTTTAAAAAAATCGTATTACAGCCAAAGCGTTTTTTACTGATCACAAATTGAAGGATACCTAATAGAAGCAACGGCGTTAGTTAAAGTGAGAAAAGGAGAACAAATATAGGACAGCTGTGAATTCAAAAGATAATATCTCAGGGGTAAGCCCTTAAGAAGCGAAATGTATTACTTCGGATAAGGATAACTTAATCTTTGCATGACACTAGGGTACCAAATCCTATTGACTTTTATTTAAAAGCGTTATTTTATATTTTTATATACTATATGTGTTAAATTTATAAATTTTTTGTTCCCTAAATGCACAGACTTATTTCTATATCTTAAAAATATTGCCTTGAAACTTCCTACATTTCTACATCAAATCTGCTGCTCTTTGTTCATTACTGTGATAATTGCCAGTGCAAATAAACAAATAAACTTAATTACATTCAGTAGTTTCTTGAATACTTTCAAGAGAATTGCGAGTATATGGGAGGTCTATTTAATAGCTTAAATGTAAGGCAAGTTCTGGCACGACTTCACGAAGTGCTAGTACTTGTTTTAATACTTCATTAGATTGTTGAAGTGATTTTTGTATATTAACTGAGGGTACGATTATCTGCGAAAGGTTTTAACATACGCTCCACAGCGTTTAAGTGGATTGTACAATGTGTCCATATTACTTTTCATTTAATCCCAGACAATTTGTAAGATAAAGAAATGCACGCATGCTAAGCTCAGAGGATCAATTATAGACTATAAAACATAATGGCATCTAATAATAGAGCCGCAATCTGAACGCTAAGCCAAAGACCCAAACAAACTTGCAGTCATGCACTTTCATGGCAATGGAAACTGCAACTGGAACTGACTCTGGCTCTGGGTCTGGCTCGAGTGCTGGCTGTGGCTCTGGCTCTGTGCATGTCGGTCGACATTACCTCGTCCTGTGTGTTGGCACTTTGAGAGCTGGCGGCGGATATGTGTCTCGTGTGCACATAGCATTTAGGAGTGCAATGGCAATGGCGATGGCTGTGCAGCTGAGAATGGCTCTTTCTCTGGCTTGGGCTGGCAGGCCGGACATGGACATGCTTAAGCGCCAGCGACGCTCGTTGCTCGTTGCAAACTTTGACTGTGGCCGTTTGCTCGTTCCGTTCACGCAAGTGGCAACATGCAGGAATAAATAATTGCAGCTCAAAGCGAGCCGGTGAGCTGGTTGTGGCACCATTGTGGCACATCCCTCCGTGCAACCCCTTTGGCCCGCTAACCAACAGACCGACCAAATGGCTCACATGACGCATCGCATTTTTATACGAATTGCGTTTAGGCAAAGTGCTCAAAAGTTGTTTTCCTTTTTTCTGCCTTCAGCTGCTGTTGTGTGTGTCCACATGACGACCGTTCCGGCGTCATCAGCATAGATTGCCATTCGGCGTAATTGTTACAAATGGATTTCACGTAATTTAATTGTGGGTTTTACATCATGAAAAATATACCGGCCATTGGCTCATAAATATGCCAACTGAGAAGGGACATACCTAAATATATATATATATATATATATATATATATATATATATATATCTATATATATATATATAAATACACATATATGTATATAAATATATATATATATATAGACACAAATATAAATGTGTGTGTGTGTGTGTGCTTACAGTTATAGATATCCTTATGGGAGGTCAACGGTGTTTGTCAGTTTGTGGCATGCAACAAAAGGTAGCTGCTGCAAGTGACTTGCCAAGAATGATTTAGTGGATTAAACGCCCTTTCGCGGCTTTTACAGCAGTTTCATACTGCTGTCACTTGAATATGATTGTATAATTATTGTTATATTGTTCTTTAAGTCATACTTTAATAAGTGCATAAGAATAAGTGGAGTAAGCCTATCTGTTGGTCTCAATACTTAAAAGCAGAGGGAGAAGGAAATTGCAAGCAAACAAAAAATAAAGTTTTCTATTTTTATGTAACCCATGGAACTCTTTGAAGCAGTAGTGGATCGAAAGGAACATCTTATAGCTGTACTCAAGCTTAGCTTAATTTTACAAGTTTAACATTCTTTTAATTTAACAAGTTTTACATTTTTAACATAACTATTTCGACTATTTAATGTTAATCGTAAATGAAATTAGTTTAAGTAAATTGAAAACTGATAGAATTTGTATTCGGAACTTGAAACATTTCAATCATAAATATGCAAATAAAATAACGTTTAAATTTACATTACATTTAAATATTTTATCAATATGTGAGCTGCAATCAGTTGATATTTGGTATAGCGGCGCGTGCGTATTTTGAGGAAATAATCAAATATTCAAATTTGTCGCACATTGTTTTAGCCCCAGAGTAAAAATGCGAGCAGCAACAGATGCTGGCAACAGCCCCACGACTTTGGCCCATGATTCAGGCTATGGAAGGTACAACAAATAATATTACCGCTCTACTGCGTACAGGCTGTGCCGCTGCGGTGTATGGCAGCGACAATCCTGTGCAGAACGAAGCTGGAACAAGGTGCGCAATTGGCATTCAAATGTTCAAGTGAATTTTTTCACGCGCAAAACCAGCTGCGGAATACAAAGCAACAGCAGTTGAGTCCAACTCCTGAGCCAGTACCCATTTGGTTCTGTTCCACGCAGAGACACATGAAGCAAGCCTTGCCCACTATTTTTCATGGCGTGGCAAACAGGGCAGAGGCTGAAGCTAACCCAACCATCCAACTTGGCTCTACATATTCGCATCTCTTCCCATTCGCTTCCATTGCCGTGTGCAAATTTTGTGTGCTGAAAAAACTTTCTTTTCTTTTTTCCTTTTTTTTGGTTAACTGGGAACGGGGCATACATTTGGCCTGTTTATACGACAGGTGTTGCCATATTGGCAGCGTTGAGGGACTAACACGTCTGTGAAATGTCATAACGTTTAAACGTGCCAAAAATACTGAAAACAGCCAAAAAGCGTAACAAATGTTAAAAACTGCGAGTGGGCTCAGTGAACTAGCAGCAAGTTAAATGGCATTTCAAATTTGAAGTACATGTCAAAATTAGCTGAATGAATTATTATTTTATAAGCAGCAGATATTAAAGAATTGGCAAACAGCAAAGAGAATGAATTTATTTAAGGACTCCGGTAAATATGTTTCAGCAATTGAATTCACTTAAGATTTAATACATGGTGCTAAATTTATAAATTGTTAATAACAGAACCAGCAAAGCTACAGATCAGAATATCAAGAAAACCAAAAATTTAAATGAGAAAATTATTTGTAGAAACTGTTAATAACTAATGAATGAAAACACACACATATATATATAAAAAATATATATACGAGTGCTTCACTTAAAGTCTCGTTAATTCATTACTCTATCGAATAGACTTAAAGATACGTTTTATGTATACTATAATCCAAATAATATTTACACATCTTTACGCTTTGTTATATATTTTGCAACTCGAAAAGAAAATATAAATAAATAAAAATTGTTATAGCTTCAAACGATAAATATATAAAACTAAATCAGGCAAAATTATTTATTAAAATGAAAAAGTTTTTCACTGCAAAGATAATTCTGTTGGCAGAAAATCCTTACATAAATATTTTCACTCTTTCGTTTGCAATTTCAATTAATTTATGAGGCAGAGGCGAAACGTGGTTAGCCAAGAGCCCGTTTAATTAGCACACAAAATACATTTCCTAGCTCTTTGGCTGTTTGGCTAAGCGTTCAAGAAATAATTGGCAAGAGCTGTGAAAGCCGCAAATTCAAAATTCAGAGCTGAAAACGCGCGCTGCGATTAGCCATAAAAATTATAGATTCAATCTAATTAGAAATTGTCGCGGCTGTTCTTGCGGGCCTTGCATTACCTACAGATCCAACTGCAGAAGCCGAGTGAATATTTAATTTAATTAACAAGAAACCATTTGGCTTGTCTCTGAATGAAGAGTGGAAGGGAGGGGGGCGTGACAGGGCTGTTCGAGTCAACGATTGCGGCTTGGAATTTATTGTTATGACCAGGCCAAGGCACTGGCAGAGGCTCATCTGCCTCATCTCGAGGCAGCTCATCAGCGGCGGCAGTCCAATAAAACGGCAATATTTTGCGTGCAGTTAAAGTGGAGCAACCGCCTCAGCTTGGAATGATTGAGCTGAGGGCTGAGCACGGATGTACTGGGCTGGCATAAGGAAACAACAATTGAAACAATCTGTTGGACATGTTTATTACAATGGCATTTCACGTAATTGCAGCTGGCTCATTGCTGGCGTTTTATGCGGCTTTGATTAGCTGCGTTCAACTGGCCAGACGATTAGCCACGCCCAGCGACGCCTCCAAACCAAAATCACATCTATATTCATTATGGCAGAGAAATATGTGTGTGAGAGAAAGGCGAAGGACATGTGATGTCAAGGACTTGCCATTGCCTTTAGCTACTGCAAACGCGTCTGACACATGCTCGGAAATGTCAACAATGCGCATGAAAATTCCAAGGTCCCACCCCTTTTTGTTGGCACAGCTCCTTGGCACTATTTCCGCACCGACGAATTTCCTTCTCCCAGGGGAAGCGATTTGCCACGGCCCAACCTCAACCCTAGGCCAAACCCCAAAAGTCACTTCAAGCCGGAGTAACTAAACGTGTTTTGTGGCATGTGTGTGTTCATGCCTCTTCTCGGGCACATTCCTTCGACCAATATCCGCAGCAGCAGTCGAGTTGTATTTCCACAAAGATGTCGCCCAAAAACAAGTGTCCCAACAACTCAACACGAGTACTAGTAATGCGTGCGGTTAAATATCCATAAATCAAATCGTACTTCGTACTTCCCCGTACACCCATCCTCTTCCATACTCTCTGCGGCAAATGTTCAAGATGACCACTGGACCTGAGCCTCGGCCTGCTTTTAAGGCAAATGCGGTTGACACTTTGCTCTTGCATTAATAGATGGTCACACGAGCCAGCATTTGACTTTGCCTTTGCTTTTGCCTTTGCCACTGGAATTCCTCGACTTGACCCTCAAGCCGCAAGAGGACATTAAATACAAAAGTGAAAAGCCTGCCCAATGCGGCCAGTGACAGAGTGGCAAGTGGATCGACTCTTTTCACTGTTTAAGTATGCCACAAAAATGAACTCTTTGCTCATTTAAACGCTTTGACATTAGGAATGATGGATATGCGGCTGTTCCATTTAAAAACAAAACGCTCATGGGAAATGGTAGCATGTTTAAAGGATAATATAATGTAAAGGTTTTGCTTTAAGTAATGAATGTTGTTTTTATCGAAATGTTTGTAGATTTATATTTATTTTTATATTTGCTCTTAGAAGAGTTAGCCCGCAACGATCACAATCCTTGGCACGTTAATGCAAAAGACTTCATATTGAAAATATATACTCTTGTGTTTCTGTGCCTGGTAAGGTATTATGCGCTTCTGGATACGCTATCGGGGCTCGTGGTAAGCCGGATGAGTCTATCTTCAAAAATACAAAATCTGAAATTTATATAGAAAAAAGACTTACCAAGTTTTATTTTTGTTTTACCTGAACTAAAAGAAATATTTTTTGTTGCAATGCTTGCTTTATTATTATTTATAATATCTTATGACTATTACAATTATAATTTTAATTGATTCTTTGAGTTTCTTAATTGTTGACTGTTCTTAATTTTTTCACTGAGTTGAGCCTTTTGCGTCGGCGAGGGTGTTTTCTTACCAGGGACGTTTACTTAACAGAAAGATAAAACTTAAAGAGATAAAATAAAACAAATCAAATATACATTATCAAATGGGTATCAATTCTGATAGTCATATGTGCAGGGATTTATGTGGGAGACGCTCAATTTTCTCGACTTGGCCACGGGCTCGCCCCACGACAGATTCATAGAGATCGAGGAGGGGGCATGGGATTCGTTGGTATGCTGTCTGCTCTGCGCTGGATTGGATACGGACCATGCCTGCGCTGCTGCTTCCAAATCCTGCTTGATGCTTTGCAGCACCAGGTCCACATTGTAGGAATAGTGCCCACTGGAAGCAGAGCTCGTAGCTGGCACATTCGAAGCGGGTGTCGCTGTCGACTGAGCGAGGTGTTCTAGAATTTCGTTGAGGTCAGATGTGCCACTGGCCATCGACTGGGGCTTTTGCTTAGGCTTGGCCGGTACATAGAAGTTCTGCCCCGGATTTGGCAGTGTAGCTGGCATAGCAGGTGGAGTCAGGAGAACTGACCGCTTCTCGGCACTCGGATCCTGGGAGTAGGACATGAGGCGCTGCACAATGCCCCGGTGAGCACTCTGCTCCGTTTGCGGCTGCGACAGCTTGGCATTGGGCTTAGAGTCACGCTGGCGATGACCCTGAATGTCCTTCTTGAACTTCATACGCCGATTCTGGAACCAGATCTTCACCTGCCGCTCACACAGCGACAGACGTTGCGCGATCTCGATGCGGCGTGTTCTATACAAATACATGTTGCTCTTGAACTCGTTCTCAAGCTCCACCAGTTGGACACTGGTAAAGGCGGTGCGCGAACGCTTCAGCTTGACGCGCTGCTCCTGCGCTGGCTGAAGCGGCATATTCTCATCGGAGGAGAGTTGCTGGCCAGGCTGCTCGCCCAAAGACTGAGGCAGCGTAGTGGGCGGCTGGTAGGTAGGCACTGTCACGGCTGGAACTGACTGCATCGTAACTGGCGACGTATTGTGATGATGGCCATACAGGAGCTAATGTTAAGAAAAAGAAGAGCGATTATTAAAGATGAAGTATGTTTTGTTGAGCTTTTTACTACTTACATTGCTGTACTTGACCATGGGCGCTGAATATGTGTTCATCTTGGGCTGGTGCACTGGATAGTAATGCATGACGGATGACATCTTGCGAGTGTTGCTGTTTGGCTGTCCAAATTGTTAGTGATGTCCTGGCCGATCGCACTCGCGCAATATATAGGCTGGCTAGGTAGTCGGAGGGCTTGCTAAAATTTGCCTAAACTCGCGCACGGGCCATAAATCCTTTTGTATATGGTTGACGCTGCCGGTCGACCCGACTGTCCGACTGCAAGCCTGTAGCAATCGCTGTCTCTGTCTTGGTGACTGTGGAATGTGTGTCTGGCACCAGCCAGACTAGCCAAGTCCAAGTCCAGGGCCAATCTAGAGGCTTGTTTTGATCGAAATCCGGCTAGCCTGGGATTTGACGTTACGTGAGTTCGTTCTCGTTCAGATCTAGCCGAAGCTGCCAGGTACGCCTGGCTGGCCAATAGTTAGACTGTCGGCTGGCCATAGTTGATGATGATCTGATCTGTTGTTCAACTTGTAGCACCTGTTTGGACGAGACGTCCGCGAAAGTGAATCCCAAGGACATGCGGCGACATACGACATTCGGCATTCTGTGCGTCGCGGATTTTGGTCGCTAGCCTCATCCACAATTATCCTGCATAATGCAATGAAAGCAGCGCAGCGCGAAAGGATATTTCGAGGGTTTTATGCTTGATTTAACAGTTTATGACTTTATTTGTGTGTCACACTCACAGTGCAGCCTACCATCCGCTATCTCTCTCTGTTTTTCTATCTCTCTATTTCTGTTTCGGCCTTTGTTGCAGTCCCTGCCCCTGTCGCCGTCTTTTTCGACATCACATGCGAATTCTACGTGTCCGCAAAACTTTATGGCTGGCGCTATAGGATTAGCTGTTTCTGAGAATTTGCTAAAAATATTCCAGAACAAAGGCAAAGTCATAACATATAGTTTCTGTACAGTTCTGCACAGACGAGACACGTGATCAAAGACATATGTATGGACATTTGTATGGACAATTGTATTCTTGAGAATATCCTTCTCTCTGTGTTGTGGCTCCTATCTGTTATTGTAAAATTAAATATAATTGTCTGACGAAATAAACCTCCTGAAAGTACATGCATACTACTAACAGAATGTGAATATGTAACTAACATATCTATACAAATTTTCTAGTACAAAATTAAAATCAGTTCTGTGTAACTCTGCATGAGTGTGATTGATATGTAAATAATTGCTCAATAGTTATCTGATATATTTCGAAAATGCTTAATTGTATTAGATACATATGTAGACTGATATATATATATATATAATTCAGGCGATCTTTAGAGGTTTCCTTAGATTATGTGAAATGATATAATCTAATGTAACCTATAGAAAAAAATATATATTTATGGATTCTATTATAAATATTATATTAAGAAACATTTAATAATTGATTACCATTTTATATGTCTAAGAAAATTTGCAATAATCAGACATTATTCGCGCCCCCTTTCTAGTTCCTCCAATTATCAACAAATGATCAGCGAACGAGTCAATAAAATTGCATATGGGAGAAACCCACGTTTCATTCTTTCATGCAAATGTTGGATTTTCCATATTTTATATCAAAGAAATGTGCTGCAACAAGTTGCCTGCTTAGCAAGAGTCGAATCCGAATTCGATACCTCGTCCGCGGCCTCGCAGCCAGAGAGTTGAGCGCACCCGGCCGGGAGCCAGCCTACCTAAGTAGTTCAGGGCAGGTACAGATAAACAGAGGCACCTGGTCGTTGTGGACTTAAATTAAGCGCGAATTTTATTATGCGCAATTCGTAGAATATTCGCGGATCAAATTTTATTACACACATGTGCCTGCGCCTCATAAAATATTCTCTTTTTAAATTCATAAGATTTTCGGAAAAACCAGCTACAGTTTTCTTTCATCGCTCCGTTTTCTAACTTGTCAACTTTGCCTACAAATGCATTCGTAACTTGAACTTCTGTATAATTCTTGTTTAAGTGGCTCTACATACATATACCTAGTCAGTTACATTTGTTAATAATATTATAATAAATTCTCGCAAAACTAAACATTTAAATATAAGAAGACTTGCAATCATAGATGTGATATTATTTGAATACCCAAGCATTTTAACTTAATATACGTTAAACTTAAGATATATATTTACAATTAAATAAATATTTAAGAAATTATTAAATAGTTGTATTCGTTTATCATTAATTCTTTAAAGTATATTTGTGTTTGGTTTATAAGATTTATTGAGAGATTAAAATGAGAATCATTGAGTCGAATATTTTATATATATTCCAAAATGTACTATGTTTTAAGAGTTATATATAAAATTAGGCTTACAATATCTGACAAATAGTGCACCATTCGTAACGTAGTTAGTTACATTTTTCAATACATTTTCAATTATTCAAAAAACCTTAAAAAATGTCCAAGTAAATTCAAGGATTTGTTCAATAGCTGAGATCGGTGTTTTTCATGTAATTTATAACAATTTTTTAACAATTCTCACGTGTAGAATGTTTAATTGTCACCTGAAAATTGTGGCATAGCAAAATTTAAAAATATTCTGATGATTATTATTGTTTAAATGTTCGATCTTTGGCTGATAATGGCAGAACAAATTATTTTACATGGCCCTGCGATTATCAGGAAGAGAAACATTTTTCATTTAGATAATTACAGTTTTTGTTAGCAATGCCACTTGATCAAAGCTATACAAAAATTTAAATCTACTTGGGAATTTTTTGTAGAAGCTTCATCTGTAAAATGTTCAGTAAAGCCCATATCATCTCAAATATGTCTGATTGGGCGTTACTGGGCTTTTGGGAAAGCCCCACCAGACAGAGTTGAGATAAATGAACGCTTTACAAAGGAAGCTTCAAATCAAATATTCACAAATTGAAGATGCATCAAAATTTTAGTTGTAACTAAACTAAGCCTTACAAAATGCATTTAAAACAATGTTAGTTTGCTTAAAATACTACAGTTTGATATCTACAAATCAGTAAATCTTTGTACAATCAGGAATTAACATGTGTCTTTTAAAGTTAGAAGCACCACAAACATTGAAATTTGTGTTTTTACAATTTGTGTAATATATAAAAAGTAATCTAGATTATATTATAGAGTATGTATGCTCTTCTTAATTAAAGCAGTAGGCGAACTGTGAGTTGCCTCCAGCATTACGATGCGGATTATACGCTTGCATTAGCGTATCCATCGTGCATTGATATTGATTTGTCTCGTGCATGGCCTCTAGTGTAGTAATCGGAGGCGGTGGCGTCTGCGTGGTTAGTGGAGTTGTAAGCTTTCCAAACTTGCCAAAGGCGCTGCTGTTGCTGCTACTGTTGCTACCACACCCGGCCAGACTGTTGCGTGCAACAGTGAGTAGTCCTTCGGCTAGGACATCGCTGCCATTGTCACTGGATTTGTTTGCGACCACATTGTTGTTGGTTTTCAGTGGCTCCAAGTTCTATTTGGATCAGAATTGTTAAGCTGAGCTAGATTGCCTAATATATATTTACCTGTAGCGTCGTCGTCTTCTTATTTGGTCCATTGTCCATGTCGTCATTGACATCGGCGGCGCCGACAGCTGTGGCAGATGGGCCGCCAACGCTGACGCCGCCGCCAGCAGGACCAACGCCACACAGACTGTGACTTTCGTCATTCTTTGGTGTTAATGGCTCGTAGACCTCGGAGCCGGGCGACATAGCAGACGTCACGCCCGCCTCGACGGTCGGCATGCTGCCGCTGCTGCTACTACCGGACAGAGCCAGCGCCGTCGTTGTTGTCGTTCGCATATAATACGATCCATTGTAGTTGTAGTCTTCCTCGTTCTCGCACTTGATCAAGGGCACTCGACAGGGTGTTCCCGATTTCGGCTGAAAATCGAAATGGTGATATTGTGGCTGCTGTTGTTGTTGTTGTTGTTGTTGTTGTTGTTGTTGCTGCTGCTGCTGTTGCTGTTGTGCTATCACGTGATGGTGGTGAAGCTGCTGGGGATGCTGATGGAGTTGCTGTTGCTGCTGGACATGGAGATTACCATGCTGAAAGAATTGAGCAGTTGTAGTTGATGCCGAAGAGCCCCCATACTGGCCGGTATGTTGTCCGCCGTGCAACTGCGCCACATGTCGCTGCTGCTGCTGCTGCTGGTTGTAGTTGTAATACGCGCCAAAAGACTCGCTGTAATGCTCAACTAGCTGCGCTGTGGGCGTAGATGGCGTTGGCGATGGCGTTAGAGCATTGGGTGTTGCAGCACCTCCACCCAGGCTCAATGCGTGCAGACTCGGTGGATCCGCATCGGCTGCTTTGAGTGGTACATTGGGCATTGATGGGGATAACGGCATGCCATCGTAGGATTGATCTTTGTGCTGGTCCGATTGGATTTTGTGACGACGCCGGCGATTTTTAAACCAAATCTTCACCTGCGCCGTGCCCAGCGCCAGCTTAGCCGATAAATCTGCCAGTCGGGGGGCGGTTAGGTAGCGTCCCTGCAAAAAGTGCTGCTCCAACTCGGCTATCTGTGAGCTGGTGAATGTGGTGCGAGTGCGACGAGGCCGTCGCATAACTAGCGAGTCGGATAACTCATCTGTGTGTGAGGTAGACACGGTAGACATTTGACAGTTGTATATAAAGTAAATATAATTAATACTGTTAAATTGATACGAATTTCTTGTGAGGTAAACTATTATTATATGTATTCAGACATATTAAATAGTTCAGACAAATCCCTCTTTCAACTTTATGAATTTGCCTTCAATCTATTTGGGTTAAATAAAATCAAAGGCTGAATCATTTTGTCTAGTTTCAAACATACATACATACGTTCATATGTACATAGCTTTTTGGGTCAGTAATGGCAACAGTGAATTTTATTTTTCTGGTTTTATTTTATAACTGTCTGCTTTGTTTATATTTGCATGCATATGAACATATGAACTTTCTGTCCACATAAGCATTCTTTAGACATATATGCATATGTATGTGTGTACACTTGCCTGGCTTGGTCATTTGATTTGGCAAATAGGGACGTATGTAGTTGTAGTTGATGGCGCCCGTGCGTTCATCGAAAAGCTTGGATAAGAAGATAAGAAATGTTGTTATTGTTGCAGGTGTTCTTTCTCTCTGCTCTTTCTGTTGCTGTTGCGCTGTGAACTTACTAAGTCGAATGGATTGCGAAACTGTGGCGGCAATTGCAGCTGCGGATGCTGCGAATGTGAGTGAGAGTGCGGATGTGGGTGCGAATGTGGATGCGGCAAAGTGTGATGGTAAAAATTTTGATCCGGCGGCGGTTGCGCCATTTTCCACCCAGCACTCGAAATATTTCGTTTATTATTTTGGCGCGTTTCACTTAGAATGAATTAAATTAAGTTTTCATTTGCATGTGAATTGTAACCGGTTACATTTAAAAATCACTAATTTATTATTTCCACATTTTTCTTTCTTTTACATCGCATCCGCTAACCGCCGTTATTTCGAGGTAAAGAACAACAATTCAAAACAGAATAAGCGAAATGTTACCACATAGTGTGAAATAGCACAAATGGCAACGCTTTATATGAAATGAAACAGTTTACAGTCACTAGATGTCGCTTTGAATCGTTTAGCGTTGCCAGATAGTCGTTCCCTGAAGATGGCGCTTGTGTGTAATCGTATGTATGGCGCGAATACTTAAAAGCAATTTAAGTACAGAGGATAAATACCTTATTTTATTTTAAAAAGTTTACCAATATGGTAAAGATTAATAAATATTGTTTTCAATTTATAGGTTTTCATTAAAGAAAACTGGTTTTTATTGGCATATGGAAATTAGTTTTATTAGGAAAAATGCATTAATTGTGAATAGAGACCTATATTTATACAGTGAGTTTCTTATGGTGGACATTTGTGTGTTTACGGATTTAGATGTTGAGTTAAAAGTGATAAAATTGTCAATTTGTAGTTTATGGAGCAGCTGTGAAGTGTACTAAGTACCGTTAACCTAATATACATATACGTAGATATGTACCCGATCAATGTTCGTGTTGACTTTGGATGGGAAAAGCTGTCTGCTGCTGTTGTTGTTGGTGTTGTGTCAACTGGCAGCCAAAGTCAATTCACAGTTCAGCCAGGCATCGAGCCAAAAGCAAACAAAACAGGAACAACATACACACACACATACACACTAGCACACTGGGCCACAAATTCACACGCAATATGTGGACAAAGGACTATGGCAAAGCCTCGACCCCTACCGAATCGAGACACCCAAAAGATTCACTGACAGAAACAGGATTCGGGTAATAAATTACAAAATTTGACATTTTCTGTTTCAGATCCGTGAACGTGCACACGGCCAGCCGTTCCAGTGCACACATACACGCAAACATACACACACACATACATACATGCACATAAATTCAATATATGTATATATACTCATATAGAAAAACCATGTCCATTCGCTGCATAGCAGAATGAGCATCGATGATGATACGAGCTGCTGGACTGCCGACTGCAAGTGCAACGGCAGCAGCAACTGCTAGAGGGAAACAGCGGGAAAACAGTGGAAACTGGCGGGAAACTCCCACGCAGCAATGGAAATGAATAGAAGCGCCCTATGCGGTCCACAGATAGTTAACTTGAAATTTATTATTTTACACAATTTACAATTATCTGATTCAAATGTGCACCGAGAGCAAAGGATGCACTTTCATCTGCTCCCTGCCAGAGACTCTGACTCTGACTCCGCCTCCGAACGAGACTGCGACGCGCAGTCTGACTGTGGCTGTGAATCGGATTCTGAGTCGGATTCCGCCTTCGTCGCCGCCTTTGCCACATCCGGCGCATTTCGACAGAAGTCACAGTCACGTTTTAAGGTCTGATTTAATTTGCTGTGGCCAAAGTAGAGAGTCATTTTTTGGGCATTATCCTGTTCAGAATGTCCTTTAACAATTTCATTTGAACTGCGTAATCCGTGAAATATTAAAAAAGCACACATCAAAAGCCAATCTAGAAATAATTACGATATTTGCACATATATTTTATAACATTTTAGTTATAGAAAATCTAAACAACAATAACAAATAAAAACACTATTACAAACATTTGGAAATTGTGGATTTCTGGCACATGATTGCTGGAAGAGTAAAGCTTTATGAAGACCTTCTAAGTGTCTTGCATTTGATTTGTATATATATATATATATATATATATATATATATTCATATATATGTATATATTATTTATATATATAATATATATATTATCATAGAATCTGGCTCATCCATAACATTTAGAGATCATAAAAATAATTAACGAAATTCAAGCAACATTTTGAGCAGTTCGTGCGTTTCCACCCCCTTTACAGTCTCATTTTACGCACGCGCCTCTGCTCTTGAGCATGACAAAAAGCGTCAGCGCGAAAGAGATGGCATGCATATGGTGGCCATGCAGGATCGCGACCTAGCATTGGCATTTCCACAGGCGAAAGGTCTTTCCAGCAGACGACGTTGTTGTTGTTGGCTCTGTCACTGCCGCTGCCAGCATTTCGCGTCCTTTGTTCCCTGCGCCATGTCATAAATCACCACATAAGCGTGTGTGTGTTTGCGTGTGTGTGTGCCTGCGTGCAGCACCTTTCCACGAACGTCTAAACATTTTTCAGGGGCAAATGGCGTCCCAAATTCAAAATTTGGTGTCAGTTTTATCCAGTTGCTCGCGAGTCGCGACTCTTCGAGGCGTTTTCGTCACGTTTTCGAATTTGTGACGGCCACACGCCTGTGTGCTGGCTCCTTAAGTTGCGCGTAGCAGTCAAGCACAACAAATCAATTCATGGAGACTAGTGCACAGGCAAAGTTAAAGTCATTGATAAGTGAGCTGCCTAGTAACAACATAACTCAACTTAAGCACACAACAACTAAACACATATACATACATTCATATGTACATTTACAAACATACATATGAAAATATCGCGTGAAAGCAAATATAAGCAAAGCAGAGATATGATCGTGAGCTCTTGCAGTGATTTGGTGTGTTCTTTAAGCAGAGATAACAATAACAAGCGATCGGTCAACGTCAACGTCAACGTCGACATCGACGTCAACGTAAGCGCTTACGCCGATGTCGATGCCGACGTTGACGGAAGCAGCGCCTGCACTTCTGAGCGCCGCTCAGAGTTCGAAGCCGAAGCCTGAGCCGAAGACGAGTCAGTCATTCGGCGAACGTGAAGCAAACAACTGTTACACAAGCAACGCAGACAGCAATCGGCAACCGGCAAGCAGCGCATTGAACTCTTGAGCTAATCGAATCTTTTGGCAAGTTATCAGCAGCCGAAATGATGAACCGCTTTTATCTATTTGTGTGGCTATGGTGCATCTCGCTAGCCACTGCAAGCAATCAGCCAGTTATCAGCCACATCAGTCCGGATGTGGTGGCCCGAGTGGGAGACACAGTTGAGTTCAATTGCACCGTGGAGCATGTGGGTCAAATGACAGTCAGCTGGGCCAAATCGGAGCCTAACTCGGCAGTGGTGCTCAGCATGCGCAATATGCTCAGTTTGCCGGATCAGCGTTACAATGTTAGCGTACACGAGAATCCCGACCAGGATAGCGCCGTCTATAGCTTTCGCATACGCCAGATCGAGGCGAATGATAAGGGACCGTACGAATGCCAAGTGATTGTCTCCTCCACTGCTAAGGTAACGAAGAAGCTCAATTTGCTAATCAAAACGCCGCCCGTCATCGCTGAATCGACGACGAAGAGCACTACGGTGACCGAAGGACAGAACCTTGAGGTCTCCTGCCATGCCGATGGTTTCCCCAAGCCCACCATTTCATGGGCACGCGAGCAACATGCTTTATTGCCCGCCGGCGGCCATGTGCTGAACGAGCCCACGTTAAGGATAAAGGAGGTGCACCGTTTGGATCGTGGCGGCTATTTCTGCATTGCACAGAACGGAGAAGGTCAACCGGACAAGCGCTTGATTCGCGTCGAGGTCGAGTTCCGGCCCCAGATAGTCGTACACCGACCCAAGGTGGCGCAGATGCTGTACCACACGGCGAACTTGGAGTGCAGCGTTCAGGGGTACCCAGCACCGACGGTGGTATGGTTTAGGAAAGGCGTGCAGCTCCAATCCAGCCACAACTACGAGATCTCCAACACGGCCTCCTCCTCGGAGACGACCACCTCGGTGCTGCGCATCGACAGCGTCTCAGATGAGGATTACGGAGACTTCTATTGCAATGCCACCAATAAGCTGGGCCATGCCGATGCCCGGCTGCATCTCTTCCAGGTCGTCGTGCCTATGCCCGCGTGGTAGGCATATCCGGAGATTTCCACACACAAAAGACTTGAATTCCTACTGTCATTTTTTCGGCAATTGTTTGGCATTATGTTCTTATATACGATATACATATATAGTATATATACGTAATTGTCTGGCAAGAGCCTCCAGTCGTATTATTAATGATTCGTTCAATTAGCTCTGATTCTGTTTGAATGTTTGTGCCTTGAGAACTCGCTGCCTATCTGCCTCTCATGCCTGGGTCGCGCTTTCCATATACAAATAAACATATATATAAATACTATATAAGCATATATGTACTTCTTTCCTGCTCGAATCGAGATTATCTGTTTGCATGTTGTTTTTGTTTCTATATCATCGTGTAGCCTGTTTTGAAGGGATGTTTGCGCAGTCGTCGCAGAGATAAGGGGGCACTCAGAACGATATTGAAGAGAGCTGAGATAAGCTACAGACTGAAGGTGTTATCGAGTATGTTTATATATAGTTTTATTACGAGTTTTCGTAAAGACTACCATTGAGTTTGAGGAAGGTGTTATGATAATTAATTTTTGACAGTAGTTAGCTGATTGAGAAGGTGAGCTATGCTTAGAGCTACGTCTATTTTAGAGACCTTTTAAGCTTGGGGAAGAACTGACTGATGTACCCCAAAATATGAGTAGAGAAGACTATTCGGACTGTCTCGAGGCACATATAAGTGCAAAAATTGAGAAGCTTATAGTTCAAGGCATAACTTTGTATCATTCATTTGTTTCGCTCAGATATTCAAAGAAATTTCTACATTTTACGATGTTCTCATAACTACTCTGGACTGAAAAATGTGTTTACAATTATTGGAATTGTACATACATTATAAAAACTACTTTATACTTTATTCAAATAGTATTTTTATATAACTTCAATTCCCAACTAAGCTCAAAAGGGTATCAACATGTCGTAAGAGAGAGAGGGAGACAAAGACAGAGACGGAGAGCGCAACAGAGACCTGGCATTTATGTTAAGCTGACTGAAGCAGTTCAAACTGCCAGAACATTTAACTCTTCAATCATGGTTAAAAATGGACTTTAGTTCACCTCTTGATACCCAAACACACACACACACCCGCACCCACACACACACACGCACTCGCACAAGTGAGTTGTTCATTGTAATTGAGAAAAATGCGAGGCATTTGTAAAGCCAGACCCAAAGAGTCGTCGTATGCTGCCGCCTTTTTGGCCCAAAACTTGCCAAAAGCCACAGACGAGTAAGAATAAATATAACATATACTATATAGTGTATATACATATATATATATATACGTATAAGTTGCGCACTAAGCACGTGGCTCATGAGGGTGCCATGTGGCGGCCAGTTAACCACATGAGCGATGTCTCTGTGGATGCCAACTCCATTATGAGCGGGCGCATTAGTTTACCAGCGACTCCCTTGCCCCAGCCTGCCCCTCTGGCTGCCTCTCGTGGCCAGTCATGAAAATCAACACTTGCTAATGACTTAATTGTTTCCATTAGAAACTCGTTGCTAAATACATTTAGACAACATTTTTCATAGTCATTTTTTGCACATGTGTATTATCCTTTGGGAACACAGCGGAAGCAGCAGGAGCAGCAGCAGCGGGAGCAATTCCTAAATGCAATACTACACTAAATGTCTGTCTATATTGTAATTGGTGTTGTTGCCGTTAAGCACGCATACACACACACGCACACACACTCCAGTTGGACTTGGAGCCGTGAGTTGGAACTGGTTGGGTGTCTGGACGCAGGAACAGAGACAACACGTGTGCTGTTATAAGCGTTGACGCCGTCGGCTTCATCATTTCATTGTCTGCCTAGTTTCAGGCAGTAGGAGGATTGGGTGGATGCTGCCCAACATGGACGTCTCCGTTATTGATTTTTTGTCCAACCACCCGCAAAAAGTCGATTGGAACGTCAGTGAAACCAGAGCTGAGCATCAGTTGCACTCTCTCTCTCTCCCTCTCTGTCTCCGTCTCATGATTACTCTCGTTTTGGGGTTGTTTTTGCCTTCAACCCCGCCGTAGAAAATGGCAAAAGTGAAACCCGTATGCTCTGCAGCAGCTTTCTATGCGTGCTTTCAGCTCCAGATTCAACTGTATTGTAGCCTGTCCAGCATTGAGCGTTCAGGCGCCTGCGCATCTCGGGTTGTTGTTTACCTTTTTGGGATGCTGAGCGCTCTCTTTGGCTTCCATTTGGGGGAACGTGGAACGTAATTCAAACGGTATTCCAGCGTAGAAGGAAACGCGTTGCTTTGGTTACGGCTCGAACGCCTCCACATGCACGCTCATTCGACTTGGACCTGGCGCGGCAGATGCAGCTGCCGTGTGTGCCGCGCCAAACTTTACGTTGCTGTTGTGCTGCCCACGACTCCGGGCTTTGTTTTTATTGTGCTCTCGACTTTTACGATGTGCCTTCGATAATACCCAGCAACGCAGCGACTGCCCAGCTTCTATGGGCGCCCATTTCTAGTTGTAAACAAAAGGCGTGCTTTTGACATTTACGATGCCCGCTGTTCGATGCCCGATGTCCGATGTGCGATGTCCGTTGTCAGCTGCAAGAGCCACTAAGATGTCATCACAATAAAATCCGACAACGTCCTGCAACCAAATGTATACATTTCTTTGGGTGAGTAGCTCGTTTGAAAACTTGCAAGAAAAAGAAGACAAAAACGATTCCTAAAAGTTGAGTGCCAATAAAAATACTTGAGTGCGCATTGCTCGAGTGAGTGATCAAGTTAAATAGCTTAAATAACACATGGGTTTTAAATGCGCTTTGCAAACTTGATTCAAACCATTAAATATTAATCTTAATTTAAAGAAAAGGTGTCATAGATGTCAAATGTAAATTCTAAAACTGCTCTGTAATCTTTTATTCAACTTAATACTTTCTTTACTCTTGAGAATATCCAGATTATTCCATCATTTAAAATAATCTTATGAAGACTTTAAAGTAAGTTTTCAGCTAATAATTCAGTTATATTTATATTTCACAGAAGGCTAAGGCAAAGTCATTTAGAAAGATTTTGTGTCATAAAACTTAAATTTTTCTTATTTAGTTATCAAGTTTGTCGATTAATGTATTGAGATTAAACTTGGCTTGACGATCGATTGCTAACTTAACTTGTTAACTTTTAAAGGTGAGCTCGTGCTTTAAATACTGTGAGTCGTAATATTTAGATATGAGGTAGAAGTAGGATTTATAAATCTTAATTTCTTTCCTACTTTAATTAAATTCATTGTTATATATATATATATTATTTCAGCATATATTTTGCTGCATATATTTTATTTAAATAAGAAATGCACCTTTTATATATCAAATTAAAAATATTTTTATTATTGGAATTAATAATACTTCATTGATTTTAATATTTCAACTTCTAGTTTAATGAGTACAATTTTTATTTTTATTTTTATTTTTATTTTTATTATATATTTTTATTTGTATTACTGCCAATATGAAAGCTCATTGTTATACATTTTTGTTAAATTTATTAATATAGATCAATTAATTTTTAATTTTTATTATTATTTGTACTACTTTAACATTGATTTCATTTCCTATTATAATTTTTATTGTATTATAATTTAGAATATAACTATAACTTAAACTGCTTAATTCTGTGAGTAATTGAGTGATTTAGAACTTGAACAACTCATACTACTCATAATACTTAAGGTCACGCTCTTTTATCACAAACTATTCTTCCCCTTCCTAGTGACTTCTATTATATAATTATATGCTCTTATCTTTTGTGCTCTTTTGTTTTGCATTTGATATGTTGCACATGTTAATGTTAATTGCCACACCCACACACAGCTGCCAGCTGGTAGCTAATTATGATCATATACATATATATATAACGGGACGTGTGTATAAGTAATTGCATTGTAATTAATGTAGATATCTGTTTGTGTTTGAGAAGATAAATTAGTAATGAATTATCGATGGGGCTAGTGGAGCATTAATTGAAGTCTCGTCTTTGATTTATGATGCGCAATTTATAGATGAATGCATTCGCCAATATCCGACACACACCCACACACTCGCTTACAGAGAGCGCCAGATGAAAAGTTCCGGCAAAAAGCGTTGTAAAATATATGTATAAAAAAGAAGAAATTACCGAACAAATTGCGCTGCATGAAAAAGTGCATCAATAAATAATAATTTAAATATTTTATTTTATGCGAAGAGCATAAAGTGGAATTAGCCTGGGCCGCTGCGGCACGCTTATGCTTAAAGCCAAATATTTACGTTGTTGCACAGGGGTAGGGGAAAGGACTGGTTGGGAGGACTTAGGGTTGGCTAGATGACAATTTTCATGCATGTCCTTGTAAGTTAAGGCTGTCTCGTGGGTCGCTCGGCTCGCTGCTTGTCATTAATCCCAGCGCTTGGAGACAAATGGAAGCTGCTTTGCCGCTGACACATGGCTTCTGGTTGGGTTTGAATTTGGCTTTGAATTTTGGACTTGGTCGCCTCCACTTCTGCTGCTGTTGCTGCTCCTGCTCTGCTGCGGTTGCGGTGCCTGCTCAAATAATAAATTTAACTAATTGCCTTGGCGATTGGCAAACAAAGACAGCAGCAGCAGCAGCTCCCACAGATTTCGCAGAACATCAACAGCAAATTGTGATTTGCATTTAGAACTTGTCTCTTTCATTAAAATTAAAACTTTGTCCAGGCCCTTGGCCAAGCATCTGGCTGACTTCGCAGCTGAGTCGAAATCTTAAAGGGGCGTTGCGATGCCATTTGCAGCAGTTAGAAATGAAATGCGGCTCTGAATGCATTCGAGCAGGAAGAGAATGAACTCCCGAATGGAACATTTTTGGCAACCCACCAAGAATTTGCCATACTCTTTTCTACCATGTCCCACAGTCGCCAAAAAGAAGTGCACAAAGCTTTAGTAAAGGCGAGAACAGAAATGCAAATTATAAAAATTAATAGGTATGCAAAGGGAATATGAATATAGCGTAACAAATGAGAAATATAATAACGTGATGATAATGACTCTCGCAGTTATCTA